AAAAAAAAAAAAATTAAAAAAAAAAAAATTTAGGTATCTTACTGTATAATTTCTACACATGGTATCTCTATGAAAGATAGGTGTTTCTATATATAGGGTGCTTATTTTGTTTGGAGCTCTGTATTAGGCACTAGAATTAATGATGACATAAAACTATTTGATATTATAAACACCTCTTTTCAGGAAGTTAAATACATCTTAATTACTAAAGTAAAGGCAGGGGTGCCTGGGTGGCTCAGTCTTTGAGCGACTGACTTCAGCTCAGGTAACGATCTTGCCGTCCATGAGTTCGAGCCCTGCATCGGGCTCTGTGCAGATAGCTTAGTGCCTGGAGCCTGCTTCAGATTCTGTGTCTCCCTCTCTCTCTGACCCTCCCACACTCATGCTCTGTCTCTCTGTCAAAAATAAATAAACATTTAAAAAAAAAAAAAATAAAGGGCAGACAGGAAAAACCTGGGTATAGTCAAGGGAGAAATGCGAGAACAGGGCAGCAAGTGTAAAACCCTGTGGAAATGCTGAAATTGAACACAAAACTGTAGTGTTGTATCTATTCTTAACAAAAACAAGGGATATTGTGAAACCCTATTTCTTTGAAGCTATTTCTAAAGAAATAGCTTGTTGGTGATCTCACTTGGTACATGGAAATGGCATACACCTATGACTATCAAATTGGCATTATTTACTATCTACCTGCTATGTCATAAGGAACAGGGCTAGACACTGTGAATGTAAAAATGAATATTGTCTGACCCTGTCCTCAAGGAACTCAGGATATAAGGTATAACAGGAAGTCAAGTATAAAATAAGTCATTGCAGTGCAGCTTAAATGCTGGAGTGAAGGAACCATAGAGGCATAGAGAAGTTTTGGTCAACTGTTTGCATAGTTTGGAAAGGCTTCACAAAGAGGATAATGAAATTAAGTCTTAAAAATTAGAAGTTCACAGGTGAGGGAAAGGATCTTTCAGATGAGGGAATAGAATCTGCCAAAGTGTCTTGAATGGTGTTTCCTGATAAAAATAAGGAGTTTGGTGTTACTAGAGCAGTGTTTTTGAGAGTTATGTACACATGCCTCTCTGATACACACCTGTCCAGGTTTTGAGGAAATTGGCTTCTACATATACCACTTTGATGTATTGTGTTCTTTCTTAAACTTTATCTGCTGCTTATGTTAAAACGTTGGATTCCTTCTCCCTTTCCCAAACTACTCTTACCTTGTTTGACAAATGAAAGGCCACCTTCTTACTTCTTACTCATTCTTACTATGATGGATTTGTCCAGTTTAAGGAAAAACTTAAAAAGTTTGGGGTGACAGGACAGAGGTAATTTGAATTATTGTTACTCATGTTGGAGTGAATGACTAATGAATAACAAAGTAACAAGTCAGGTGATTTCCACTCCCACTTCTTTGCTTTCAACACATTTGAAGTAGGATCTATAAATGTTACCTATTAGATTATTAAAAATAATTTTTTAAAGATCATTTCATGAATCCTGGCATGTAACTTGAAGGAGTTCAAAGAGTCGTGCCATATTGCTAAAGTAAAACTCATTTTCATTGCAATCTACCTATTTATATGAATAGTTTTCTTAGTCATAAAAAGAAATAAAGAATTGATGGTGACCCTTTTATCATTCTACCAGTAAGTAATATTTATCCAGTGAGATATCTTCATAATTCTCTGGGAGAACCTAATTTTAAGTTTAGTGAACAGAACACTGAACTGTAACACAGAGTAATTTTTTGGGCAGGTAGCCTGAGTTCAGGCAGAAGTATGTGGTGACTAGATGTAAAGGGCATTCATTATATGTTGAAGAATTTGGACTTTTTCCTGTAGGCATATGGAAGTCACTGGAAGTTTTTAAGTACAAAAGGACAATCAAATAATGCTTGGTGGTATTATAGTGGATGGACTGAAGAAGAGAAAGATTACCAGTCTAAAGAAGGGGTGAACTTGAACCTCTGGTAATGGTTTGAAAGAAGAAATCTACAAACCAAGTTGGGGAGAGATATCTGAGTGTTTCATCAGTTGAGGATGAAGAGCAAAATTGAGGATTTTCAAATGATAATTTGTAGTTCCATTAGCCAGTAAAGGGAATGCAGAAGAAGGAAGCAGGTTTGATTAAGGGAGATAAGGCTAAAAAAAGGTAATAATGAGTTCCATTTTGAAATTGAAAGAACATAAAGAAGTACAGGAAGTAATATTTTAAGTGTTACCATCATGAACACTAGTCTGTCAAAGTTTGCAATGAAGATTTATGTAGTTTAGGGTGTCAATAACAGAGATGGTAATTGAAATTAAAGGCTAATAGACAAAGTTTTGATGTTACTGTGGGTCTTACTTATACAACATGTGGATATATTTGTATAGATTATCACAGATTAGGAAACTAGAAAAAGGACAAAGTTCTGTAATCCAATCACCATAATAAAACCAGTGTTAGCATTTTGAAGTATTTCCTTAAAGGTTTTTTTTTGCCTCAGCACCTGCATTTTTCTTAGTTTTAGCAAGTGTGTAGTAAGTGGATATATACAATTTTCTTCCATATTGTTAGTCTTTAATTTTTATTTTTGGTTGCTCCCTAATATTTCATAGTAAAGTTACTTAATCATTCTAATTACCTTCAAGTTTCTTTCTTGGGTGGTCATTGTCACATTAACTACTTTAGGTATCATACAGAATGCCCTGATTATTTGAGGACTAAGAGAGTGGATTAGAGAGTAAAGTAGTTGACAGTGTTCCTTTGCTCAGTCTGACAACTTGACAGCCATCTTCTATCATAAATACTTGATTAGCTTCATCCTTTTCTTCCCTAAAAGGGAAGAATACACAGGAAACCAGGAAATGTTAAGATTATTCATTAGGCAAAAGAGTTTATAATGCCCACTCACCCCCCGACCCCAAACAGCATGTAAAAACTGAATCTACCACAACATTAAGAGAAAGGTTTCTATGGAGATTAAGGTTTATGTTTTGTGTATATCAGTATTTATGTTGATGAAGAACATAAAAAAACATGGTTAAATACAGGGTAATGTTTTCCTTCAAAAATAGTACAATTGTATACATAAATAGTAGTCTGTTAAGGCTGTGAAAGTAGAAGAACATAAGTGATTTTTCTTATGGAAATTAGTTTGACAGTTAATTAGTGAAAGAATTTTTCTTGAGCCCCCTAGAATTTAAGGCTTCACAATTATATTTCATCTTTCCTTTTCTTTAATTACTGTGGGTCCTAATCATTTTCTTTGAGAGATTCTCATTTAACTGAGTATACTTTGAAATTCATTTACAGGTAGTTCTTAATAGATAATGTATAAATATGTATACATACAAAATGTACTTTAATTTTTCATACATAACTAACTACACTTTTATTAGTGAATTGTTCTTAATTAGAAACTTTTTAATACTTCTTGATGAAAAATTTGGTCTTCATTCTGTTATTACCAAATTTTCATGTACAGTTTTGTATCTTATAGATAAGATGATCTTACCGTATACTTATATAGAATCATTTTAGGCTATTATGTTCACATAAGTCTTTACACTTCAGCATTATTCTATACTTTTTCACTTTGGGGAGAAAAGAACTTGACTCACAGTCTCTTATAAATCTCTTCCACTTTCTGGCTTCTTCCAAGTTCAAAGGACATGCCACATCACTTTGGAGAGGTATCAGGGCACTTACAGTACTACACGATATCACAAGCACTTTTGCAAAGAAGTGATTTATTTCTACAGGATATATAATAGTGTATATAACTGATATATACAATGCTCACGTTTGTTTCTTTTTTAATATGTGGAGCTAATACTATTTGAATAAGCTGGCTTTAATAGTTAATAAATATATTTTCTAAAATAAGGGCTATAAATATATAGATATAATTATTCAAGTATTTTAAACATTGGTTTCATATTCAAATGTGTATAGTTTTCCAATTTTTAGATTTAATTTTATTCCCATATAATTCAGAAAATATTTGGGGTGGAATTGAGTCATTGATAGAATAGAGATATATTAGCTTATTTTTCATGACTTTACTACTAAAGATATTTATTTAAGTTTTCTTGTTTGTGGAAATTCAAATATTTAACTTGTAGTGATAAGGCAGTTTTGAATCTTTTAGAGCTCGGCAGTAGCCCCATCTACCCAACAAGTGAAGACACCACAGACTTCAAATGCTCCTGATCTAAATGATGCAATTGTGAAACTATTCAGTGACTTTGATGTTAAAGAAACGTCTCATCATTTAGTGATTTCTCATCTAGATCTACACATATGTGATGACATTCATGCTAAAGAAAAAGGTAATAAAAGCTGCTTATTTCAAACTACTTTGATTTATTTTTAGGATTGCCTACGAAACTGGATTGTTTATCATTTGTAATATATCTTGTACAATGACTGGTCATAATTTTATCATTCATATGAGATGCATAGATGAAAGTTGTACTTTTAAGCAATATATATTGGTATGAAATTTTTTGGCTTTAGTAGTTAGTATTTCAGCACAATTAATTATTAGCTACAGATGCTAACAGTAAAATTAAGTTTAAAAAATCAAGGACTGAATAGATGACATCCTTAGAGGATGATGAAATCTTAGACTTGCCTTTGAATTAACTTTTTAATAATTTTGAAATTATGTATACATTAAATTTTAGTCCATACTCAATTCATAATTATTTGCACATATGTTTCCACATGGTGGTCTATCTGCATTTTTCTGACCCCATTTGCATGTAAACACAACTATGTGGCTGTTTAACATTTCTTGTGTCTCTTCTCCAGTAATGCTCCCAAAATTTGGTTAGGAAGCCAAATTCCAGTTAGTTAAGTTTGTTTTCTTTACTTTTCGCTTTTGTTTCTCTTACTTTTCTTAATTTAATAGACACAGGTAATGGAGAAATAGGAAGCTCTTCTTGGTCACTTTGAAAATCTGTGGTTCTGTAATCTAGGTACTTGCATTTCTTTCTCTGTTGGAGAGTGTCCCCGGCCCATAAGTGTTGGAAGGGTTTAGCGATTGGTCCTACTTCTAGGACAGTGGTTCTCAAACTTTGGTGAGCTTGAGGATCTCTTTAAAACAGAGATATCTGTATCTGACCTCTCTACCTCAGATCTGAATCACAGTCTGCATCTGTGAAAATTGTTACTCTGTATTTTTAAAGCTGAGACTGACCTTGGATATTTAGCAGAAGTTACTCTGCCTTCATCAGATAAGGCAGCCAAGTACCAGTGACCAGATAAAAGGGTGGAATGGAAAAGATGAGGAAGATTTGGAGTTTAGAGAGGGATTTGTTGTCTTTTCTTTTGTCTACCTTTGTGTCATTTGTCTTAAAGTTGGTATCTTCTTTACTGATTTGACAGGAAAATGAAAAAGTTAAAATAAACCAACATAACAAAATGAGGGGGGTCAAGGTTAAGTAATCAGCAAAAGAATAGAGACAAGTGTCTTCCAAGTTTTTGTTTTGTTTTGTTTTGTTTTTTACATTTCTCACTCTTTATACTCCCTCATAGAATAAGCTGAATTATGTTTTTTAAGGGGAAAACTACTCCACCAAAGTATTTCCTTCATGGTACAGATTTGTTCTAAAATCCAGAAAGGTCTGAAATGAATCATATTCATTCATACCTGGTTGTATCTTAATTTGTATTTTCTGTACTTGCAGTTGATTTATCCATGCTGTGTTAAAATTTGATTTTTATGTTGGAGTTACACTGAGTTGTGATCTGCTTCTAATCTTAATATAGCTATGTGACTTTGAACAACTACCTAATCTAGTAGACTCAAGTTCTTCTTCAATAAAAGACAAGATGATATAGTATAGTGGTTAACATTTCTTGGGTTCAAAATAAGCTCTGTGTTTATTGCCTGGTAAGACCTTGGTCTGTTTAATTAACCTGTTTGTGTCTCAATTTACTTGTCTAGAAAATAATAATAATAGTAATAGTATTTATCTCAGGGTTGTGAGGAAGAGCAAATCAATAAGTATAACTAAAGTATTTAAAACAAAACAATATTTGGCATATGGTTAGAGCTATAAATATAAAAGTTCTACTCTTTTTGTACCCTCATCTTCTAGCTTTGTACAATGCAAATGATAGGGGCTCAGTAATACTAATTAGATTGCATTGCATTTCCTGAATTCCTTAATGTATATTGTTCATGACAATAGAGAGACAATCATGGCTTAGACTGCAAGTACAATACATGAAGTGTTTCTGATATTTGCTAATGTTTCTTTCTCTTTCTCTCAATGCCAAATTTTTAATTTTCCCAGAGTCAAACAGACGTATTACTGGAGGGGCTATGCAACTGTCTTTTACACAGCTAACTATAGATTATTACCCTTATCACAAAGCAGGTATGTATAACAATTTCTTTAACAGACATAAATCTTGCCTTAAAGTTATATAGTCAATTTATCTCATTTCTTTTTGTATTTATTATTTTTTAATTCATTTTATTTTGTATTTATTTTAATTTATGTTTATTTTTTATTATTTTAATAGGTAACATACAGTGTCATATTAGTTTCAGGTGTGCAATATAGTGATTTAACAGCTGCATATATTACTTGGTACTTAGGACAAGTACACTCCTTAATCCCCATCACTTATTTCATGCAACCACCATCCACCCCCTCTCTCATCTCTATAATTAAGAGTCTGTTTCTTAATTTAGCTCTGTTTTCCCCCCTTTGCTCCTATGTTTTCTTTCTTAAATTTCACATGAGTGAAACCATATGGTATTTGTCTTTCTCTGACTGACTTACTTTGCTTAGCATTATACTTTCTAGCTCCATCCATATCCTTGCAAATGACAATATTTCTTTCTCTTTTATGGCTGATAATATTCCATTATGGATTGATACTACATGTTCCTTTATTTATTCATCAATCGATGGATACTTGGGCTGCTACCGTATCTTGGCTTTATCCTTGTATTTTGCAAATTTCACTATGGTATGTCATGGTGTTGACCTGTTTTTGTTGATTTTGAAGGGAGTTCTGTATGCCTCTTGGACTTGGATACCTTTCTTTCCCCAGATTAGGGAAGTTCTCAGCTATAATTTGTTCATATAAAGCTTCTGTCCCTTTCTCTCACTCTTCTTCTGACACTCATATGGTATAGATTTTGTTTTGCTTCGTGGAAACACTTGGTTTTCTAAGTCTCCCCTTGTGTCTAGTAATTTCCCTCTTTTTTTCAGCTTCATTGTTTTCCTAATTTTATCTTCTACTTTGCCTGTTCTCTGCTTCTTCAGTCCTTGCTGTCACTGTCTAGTTTATTTTGCATCTCAGTTACAGTATTTCTTAATTCATCATGACTAGTTGTTAGGTCTTTGATCTCTGCAGCAGGGGTTTCTCTGGTGTCTTCTATGCTTTTTTAAAGCCCAGCTAGTTGTCTTATGACTTGTTCTAAATTCTTGTTCAGGTACCTTGTTTATATCTGTTTTAAGCAAATCCCCGGGCTGTGATTTCTTCTTGACCTTTCTTTTGGGGAGAATTCCTCCATTGTGTCATTTGGGCTAAGTTTCTATCTTTGCGTGTTGTAAAAGCTTGTTATGATTCCTGCAGCTGAGCACTACTATATTAAAAAGGGGTCATACACTGTCCAGGGCCTGGTACTCCAGATTGTGTTTCAGGTATATGCTGTGTGTACTTTGCTGTTGTGTTTTGGCAGCTCTTTCCCACTGGTCATTTCTTTGCAGAGCTCTTTGCTTGCAGTGTTGGAGCGTTTAGACCTTTAACTAGGTGTGCTTTGATTTGTTTGTTGAAGTAACCTGGGAAAAAAGAGGTTGGGTGAAGCCTGATTCCATAAAAAGAGAAAAGGAAAGGTAACAAACCCCACAAACAATCAAAAAACTATAAAGCTGATTCCAACAGAAAAGAAAGAAAGAAGAAAAGAAAGAAGAGAAAAGAAAGAAAAGAATAAAAAAGCCTAATTAAAAAAAAAAAAAAGATAAAAGGAAATGACCAAAAAAAAAAAAAAGAAATCAGAAACTATGATCCTGATTCCAAAAGAAAAAAAAGAGTTGTCTGTTGGTGCCTGGGAGATGGTGGCTGTGATGGTCTGGAGGAGAGGCCAGCTGTGGCTGCCTTGGCTCAGAGTCAGTCCTGCCCCAGAAGATAAGCAGTTGCCAGGCATAGGGTGGGAGGGTGTTCGTGTAGGTTGGTCCCTGCCTCCCCCGGGGACTCCTGTGTTGCTCTCTGAATTCCCACCGTGTTGGTGTTTGGGGGGAAAATGAAGCCACCCAATCTCTCATTCCCGGACTAGGGATCTCAACCCCTGCTATTTAGGCAGCCCTCACAAAGTAGAGAGGGAAGTCAGTTAGCCCTGTGTCAAAACTCTCTTGTGTTTTTCCTTTGGCGTGCAGCTGGGATTCAAAACTGACGGTTTTCTATTCTGTTGCATATATCTGTGCATCCATTTTTGTGCTGGTATCATACTGTTTTGATTACCACAGCTTTGTAATATAACTTGGAAGTCCAGAGTTGTGATCTCTCTAGCTTTGCTTTGCTTTTTCAAGATTGCTTTGACTATTCAAGGTCTCCTGTAGTCCCCTACAAATTTTAAGATTGTTCTAGTTCTGGGAAAAATACTGTTGGTATTTTTGATAGGGATTGTATTAAATGTGTAGATTGCTTTGGGTAGTATAGACATTTTAACAGTATTTGTTCTTCTAATCCATGAACATGAAATGTATTTCCATTTCTTTGTGTCATCTTCTATTTCTTTCATCATTGTTTTATAGTTTTCAGAGTATAGGTTCTTCACCTCTTTGGTTAAGTTTATTCCTAGGGATCTTACGGTTTTTAGTGCAGTTGTAAATGGGATTGATTCTTTGACTTTTTTTCCTGCTATTCATTATTGGTGTATAGAAATACAAGAGATTTCTGTACATTGATTTTTTTATCCTGAAACTTTATTGGATTCGTTTATCAGTTACAGCAGATTTTGCTGGAGTCTTTTGGGTTTTCTGTATATATTATCATGTCCTCTGCAAATAATGGAAGTTTTACATCTTCCTTACATATTTGGATGCTCTTTATTTCTTTTTGTTGTCTGATGCATGGCTAATACTTCCAGTACTATATTGAATAAACATGGTGAGAGTTGACATCCTTGTTTTGTTCCTGACCTTTCCCCATTAAAAATGTTTGCTGTGGGTGTTTCATATATGTTCATTATGTTGAGGTATGTTCCCTCCAAACCTACTTTGATGAGGGCTTTTTTATAATGAATGGATGTTGTACTGTGTCTAATGCTTTTTCTGCATCTATTGAAATGATCATATAGTTTTTATCCTTTTTCTTATTAATGTGATATTTCACATTGATTGATTTGCAAATATTGAACCACCCTTGCAACCCAGGAATAAGTCCCTACTTTATTGTGCTGAATGGTTTTTCTAATGTATTGTTGAATTCAGTTTGCTAGTATATGGTTGAGGATTTTTACCTCTGTGTTCATCAGGGATATTGGTTTGTAGTTCTCTTTTTCACTGGTATCTTTATCTGGTTTTGTTATCAAGATAATGCTGGCCTTGTAGAATGAATTTGGAACTTTCCTTCCTTTTCTATTTTTGGGAATAGTTTGGGAAGAATAGGTATTAACTCTTCTTTAATGTTGGTTAGAATTCACCTGTGAAGCCATCTTGTCATGGACTTTTGTTTGTTGGGAGTTTTTTGATTACTGATTCAATTTCTTTGCTGCTTCCAAATTTTCTATTTCTTCCTGCTTGAGTTTTATTAGTTTATATGTTTCTAGGAATTTATCCATTTCTTTTAGGTTGTCCACAATTTGTTGGCATGTAGTGTTTCATAATCTCTTATATTTGTTGTTCTGTGGTCTTGGTTATTTCTACTCTCTCACTTGTGATTTTATTTATTTGAGTCTTGTTTGTTTTTTTCTTGATAAGTCTGGCTAGAAATTTGTCAATTCTATTGATTTTTTTTCTAAAGAAGTAACTCCTGGTTTTATTGATCTGTTCTTTTGTGGTTTTGTTGTTTGTTCTTTCCTTTGTTTTTCTGTATCACTTATTTCTGCTCTAATCTTTATTATGTCCTTCCTTCTACTGGTTGGGGTTTTGTTTTTTCTTCTTTTTCCTAGCTCCTTTAGGTGTAAGGTTAGGTTGCCTATTTGAGATTTTTGTTGCTTCTTGAGAATGATCTATTTGTCAATAAACTTCCCTTTTTAGAACTGCTTTTGCTGCATCCCAAAGGTTTTGGGCTGTTGTATTTTCATTTTCATTTGCTTCCATGTACTTTTTAATTTCTTCTTTTATTTTCTGGTTGACCCATTCATTGTTCAGTAGCATGTTATTTAACCTCCATATTTTTATGCTCTTTCCAGATTTTTTCTTGTGGTTGACGTCTAGTTTCATAACCTTGTGGTCAGAAAAGATTCATGGTATGACTTCAGTCTTCTTGAATTCATTGAGATCTGTTTTGGACAGTATTTCATGTGTACTTGAAAAGAATGTGTATTCTGCTGTTTTAGGATGGAATTTTCTGAATATATCTATTAAATCCATCTGTTCCAGTTTGTCATTCAAAGCCATTATTTCTCATTGATTTTCTGTTTACTTGATCTGTCCATTGATGTGTAAGTGGGGTGTTAAAGTCCCCTAGTATTATTGTATTACTATCAATTAGTTCCTTTATTTTTGTAATTAACTGTTTTATGTATTTGGGTGCTACTGTGTTGGCAGCCTAAATATTTATAATTGTTATATCTTCTTGTTAGATTGTCCCCTTTTTGATTGTATAGTGTCCTTCTTTGTCTCTTGTTAAACTCTGATTTGTGTCATATAAGTATTGCTCCTATGGCTTTTTTTGACATCCATTTGCATGATAGGTGTTTTTCCATCTCTTCACTTTGAATCTGCTGGTGTCCTTAGGTGTAAGATGAGTGTCTTGATGGCAGCATATAGATGTATCTTGTTCTTTTTGTGCATTCTGTCACCCTGTGGCTTTTGATGGAAGTGTTTAGTGCATTTACTTTCAACGTAATTATTTACAGATGTGTATTCATTGTCATTTTATTTTTTTGTGGTCATTTGTGATGATTTTCTCCTATCTTTTTTTGTTTCTCTTTCATGGTTTCCTGATTTTCTTCAGTGATATGTTTGCATTTCTTTATTTTTTCTTTGCATATTTATTATTGGTTTATGATATGGTTACCATTAGCTTTGTATATAACCTCTTTTGCAGATAGCAATCTATATTAATTTGGTCATTTAGATTTGATCCCATTCTTACTCCTCTCCTCCCCATGCTTTACATATATGTTTTTATATTTTACAGTCTTTTATTTTGTGAGTTCCTTGACTAATTTTTTACAAAAACATTCATTTTTGCTTTTTTTGTGTTTTCTACCTTCAGACTGTCACTTTTGGTTTTTCCTCTCCATTCAGTGTGTTTCCTATAATATTTCTGGCCGGGCTGGTTTAGTGGTCATGAGCTCCTTTAGTTAAGAGTATTCTCAGCAGATTTTTTCCAATTCGGCACTTTGAATGTATCATACCACTGACATCTTGCTTGGAAAGCCTCTGCTGAAAAATCTCCTGGTAGCCTTATAGGTGTTCCCTTGTAAGTTACTGTTTCCTTGTGTCTTGCTGCTTTAAAAATTTTTTCTTTATCACTATATTTTGTCAGTTTAATTAAAATATGTCTAGGGGCGCCTGGGTGGCGCAGTTGGTTAAGCGTCCGACTTCAGCCAGGTCACGATCTCGCAGTCCATGAGTTCAAGCCTCGCGTCAGGCTCTGGGCTGATGGCTCAGAGCCTGGAGCCTGTTTCCGATTCTGTGTGTCCCTCTCTCTCTGACCCTCCCCCGTTCATGCTCTGTCTCTCTCTGTCCCAAAAATAAATAAACATTGAAAAAAAAAATTAAAAAAAAAATATGTCTTGATGTGGATCTCTTTTGTTGATTTTGAGAGTTCTCTTTGCCTGCTGGATCTGGATATCTGTTTCCTTTCCTAGATTAGAGAAATTTTTAGCTTTTATTTCTTCAAATAAATTTTCTGCCCCATTCTCTCTCTCTTCTATAATATTATGTTTAATTGAGTCACTGAGTTTCCTAAGTCTGTTCTCATTTTGCATAATTCTTTTTTCTCTCTTTTGTTATGCTTGATTACTTTCCATTAATCTGTCTTCTAGGTCACTAATTTTTTTCCCCTGCTTCTTCCATCCTGCTGCTTATTCCATCAAGTGTATTTCTCATTTTGTTTATTGAGCCCTTTATCTCTGCTATGTCATTCCATATCTCTTTGTTAAGGGTCTCACGAATGTCCTCCTTTTTTCTCAAGTCCAGTGAATATCCTTGTAATCATTACTTTAAATTCTCAATCTGGCTTGTTACTTGTATCTGTTTCTCTTAGATCTCTGGTCGTGTCCTGTCCTGTTCTCTCATTTTGTCTAAGTCTCTGTGCCTGTTTCTCTGTGTTAGGAAAGTCAGCTACATCTCCTGTTATTGAGGGTAATGGCCTTATGAAGCAGAGGTCATGGAGTGCCCTGTTTTGTCGTGTCCCCTGTTCCCCAGGTTCTGGTGCTTCTGGGAGTGTCTCCAATATGTGCTGCATGTGCTTTGCTGTTGTTTCCTAGCCACTTTATCCATCAGGCCAGTCGTATGCAGGGGCTCTGTTTGCCTCTCACTGGCGGTGTTTGGTCCCTGGCCTGAATATGGCACATTTTAACTAAGTGTGTTCTGGTCTGCTTGTGAAATGAAGCCTGTCGCCATTGCAGCTGGCACCGAGGCTCTGCAAAACTCCCACATAGGGAGACACAGTGTGAGCAGGGGTTTGGGTTGGTCTTTTGGGGGAGAGGGTCTGCTCTGCTGGGGCTGAGGCAAATTCCACTGGAGTGCATGGAGTGTGGCTTGGTGTAAGTGAGTTAGGTAGCGAATGTCTGCACTAAACTAATTCCCACCAGTTACCCCGTGCTTATTCTGAGGGATGGGGAAGGGAAATGGTGCTGGCTTATTCCTTTCTTCCCAGAGGGGTTTCTCTGTGAACGCTATCTCTCTGGTACACAATACAAGATGAGCAAATACCTTCCCCGGCGTGTGCTCCAGGTGCTCTTCAGATTACTGTTTCCATGCTATATGTTTGCGGGTTGTTTGCCTGACTTCTTCACAAGAGGTGCTCCAGTACCTTCTGAGCTCTCCAAGAGCTAAGCACGCTGACCTTTAAAATTCCAGGCTTTAAGCCCTGCTGGTTGGCAAAAGCCATGAAATTGGGTCCCTTTTGCTTTCCAAGTCAACTACTGTGGGGATTCATTTTCCCCATGCACTCCTCTGTGTGTGAGTTTGTCTCTAGCCCTTCTTAGCAACTGTGGCTCCCTCCCCAACATAGCAGCCACCATCCAATCCATTTCTCTCCCAAACCCTGTCACTGCACTTCGTAGCTTCCTTGTTGTGGCCTTTTCTCTACCTTTAGTTGTGGCATTTGTTCTGCCAGTCTTCAGGTCAATTTCTGGGATATTTAGGGTGATTTGATGGTAATCTAGTTATATTCATGGGATGAGGTGAGCATAGTCATACTCCACTGGCATTTTTCTTTTCTCTTTAACTTTTTAAGGAAAAAAAGAGACCAAAATATTTGTTATTTTTCCCCAGTAGTATTTCACCAAGAAGATATAATTGCCATAGAAAATATTTATGCATTTTTATATAGAGTTTTATGTAGATTATTAGGAAGTACAATTGTTAGCAATTGGCAGTACTCTATTGATTTAAATGTTAAAATCAGAATTTGGAGGACATATTTTATGCTATTTTATTTTGTTAATTGTGACAAAAGTTAGTAATATGTTTTGAATTTTAAAAATCAGTATATTATTAGTATATTTTAATATTAAAAACTCAAGAAAGGAAATAAAGTAAAAGGATAACAATGATTTCAGCCATGTTGTAGGATTCCAGGAACTTTTTAAAAAACTTTTCTGTGTTTTCTAAATTTCATTAATAGACTTTTTACATGTGATCTTAGCCAAAAGGCAGAGCAGTGATACATTAATAGACTTTTTAATAATTAAATATTGATAGGTTTTTTCCTCCCAAATAATAAAAAACAAAATATATAAGCTTATGGCCAAATTAAGTAATTTGACCTTATGCCCATCTCTGCATTTTGGTGATGTATGGATTTTTTTTTTTTTTAATTAACAAAAATAAGAAAAACAAGTTTAAGGAATTTTCCAGGACTTTAAGGAAGTGATAAAATTTTTCTGTTCACAAATTTATCCTTCTTCTGTTTGTTATTTCTGTGTGTGTGCTTGACGAATTTAAAGGTTATACTATTTGATTTTTGTTTGAAGTCTTTGTTGTATATTCTATATTCCTGATTTGTAAGTTACTTACACATATGTAAAGTTTTTTTAACTATAGAAATAATTCATATTTTGGAAGGTGAAACTTAGTCATAGATTTTTTTTTTTTTAAGTTTATTTATTTTGAGAGAGTGTGTGTGCACATGAGCAGGGGAGAAGCAGAGAGAGGGGCAGAGAGAGAGGGATGAGTGGAGAGAGAGAATCTCAAGATGCAGATCATGACCTGAGCCGAAATCAAGAATCAGACCCTTAATTGACTGAGCTACCCAGGTGCCACCCAAAGATAGCGTTTCTGGGTGGGCACAATATTTTCTGAACCCTTTTATGTACATACTACTTTTCTCAGTTTTTGCTACAGAGAAACCTAATAATCCTAATTTTTTATTTTCCTTCCAAAAATTTTTATGTAGGTATAGATATATCTATATCTTTATGACTTGATGTCCATCTTGAGAAATTTCATTGGTTTCTTAAGTGTTTTAATAATCCTCATCATTTTAAGGATAGGTTTTATTTGTCACTTTACAACAAATCTTTGATGAAAGGACTTTTTTCTGGTAGTATTTTCTGTAGTATTTTCTTTCTAATGGAGGTATGTTTGATACTTGAGCATTCAGTGAAGGTTGACCAGCAGTACTGTTTGTAATTGAAATTTTGAGTCATGTTCTACCAATGGTTGATTTCTGATAGAAACCTCTAGATAACTTCCTTTTGACACTCTTTGCATGTATTCTAAATGTTTTGCTCAAATTTTCTAGGAAGATTAAAATCTCTTGTAGGTGAAGACTGCTCCCTTGAGAAAAAAACCCTTGGGAAATAAATAAATCTCATTAGAAGCATTGCTACAATAAAATAAATGAAAATTGTGCATTTTTCAGTTAAATACCTGTCATTCATTTTACAGGAGATAGTTGTAACCATTGGATGTATTTTAGTGATGCAACCAAAACAAAAAATGGATGGGCCAACGAATTGTTACATGAATTTGAGTGCAACGTTGAAATGCTTAAGCAGGCTGTAAAGGATCATAATGTAGGTTCACCTCCTAAATCCCCAACACATGCCTCTCCCCAGCACACACAAACAGGTATTTTACCTATAACAACATTATGGCATTCCCCTGATAGTGTGTGTGTGTGTGTGTGTGTGTGTGTGTGTGTGTGTGTGTGTGTGTGTGAGATCATGATAGGATATTTTCTGTAAATTTTCTGTAAAATTTAATTAATGTCTAAAAATTCTGCACCTTCTTCAGACCATAAGCTTATGGACCAAAAGCACTTTTTAAATTGACATGACCAATAAGAGTAATACCCCGTTAGAATGTTTGAGATTGTTAAATGGCTGATAGGTCTCTCTTTTTAACAAGAATTTCTGGTAAAAGTTATTGTATAAGAATATCTTAAATGTGGTGTATGACTCATGTTTAAAGAATAATCACACAAAAGAATAATCATTATAATAACAAATTCCTGCATCAGTTTATATATAAAGTATTTTCACATATATTATTTTGTTTGACAAATTAGAGTTCATGTGTATTTCTAGTAGCTGTCTTAACAAAAAAGTGATTGTTAAAAATCATTTGCCATAAATTGAAAGTTTTTTTCTTCTTTCCCACAGAGAAAGACTCGGCTCTGAAAGGGACTTCCAGATCACCTTCAGTATTATCTCAGCAGTCCAAAGCTAAGTTAATGTCTAGTTCTGTTGTGGTTAGACTTGCAGATTTCAATATATACCAGGTATGATTCATTTTTAATTAAATCTCATGATAAAACATCTTCTGCAAGCAACTCATATTTTGTTTTAAATGTTTATTTATTTATTTTGAGAGACAGTGGGGCAGGGGCAGAGAGAGAGGGAGAGAGAGCATCCCAAGTAGGCTTCGTGCTGTCAGCACAGAGACTGAGGTGAGGCTTAATCCCACAACTGTGAGATCATGACCTGAGCCAAACTCTTAAATGACTAAGCCACCCAGATGCCCCTGCAAGCAACTCTTATAAACTACTGCCACTCTTTTATTTAAAAACATCTTGGCCAGTTTTGTGAAATGGCTAAATTAGACAGGATAGAAGATATCCATTCATTAATTTTTGTTTATATGGTTATACAGAATTAACCAAACTGTGAGGTCAAGAGCATAGTCCTCCAGTCTGCCAAATCTGCACAAGACTTCTCACAGCAACTGTTTGGGAGTCTCCCCTAAGCCACCTTCAGATTCAAGAATTCATTGGAATAAATAATAGAATTCACTGAAATAAGTTATGCTAAGAAGCACATTTATACTAAGAATTACATATATTACAGGGAAGGATATAAATTGGATTCAGCCATAGGAAGAGAACCTGGATTGGGCTAAGAGGGTTCCAAATGTGGAACTTCCTTGTCCTCAGGGCACAAGGAACAATATACATGAAGTATACATAACAATATACATGAAGTATTACCCTCATAGATGAACTCAGTTGTTGTTAGATACCAGGTGACCCAAAGCCTCCAGTGTCTGAAGACTACTAAGACTATTAAGTATGGCCAACCTCACTCTTAGTCATCACTGTAAGCATAAACTGTCAGTTGTCCCAGGGATCTACCATGAATAGGGAATTCTAAGAATTTAGAATTACTTTCCAGAAGCAGGAACAAGGGCCAGACCTCTCTTAGGAGATCACATTCCTTATTACACAATGCTCTTAGTGGAAGAAACTAAAATATTTTTTTGCCTTATTGAACTGAGTATTGGCTATCTTGTGAACATAATTTCATGGCTAAGAATTCTGTCCATTTATATTGTTCAGGCTGTAATCATACAATATGATATAATATTACAGTCCTTGAGACCAACATAATAGACTATAACATTCTTTAAAAATAAACAATTTCAGATAACATGTTATCATTTATGAATTGTTCTGGTTTATTTTGATGAGTCTATGGCTTTGAGACTTAGTTTTATCTGAATTTTTTTTTATTTTACTCAGTGGTTTTCAACTGGGGTTGATTTTATACCCTAGGGGACATTTGCCAATGTCTGATGACATCTTTGGTTGTCACAACTGGAGTTGTGACAGTTGTCAGAATGCTGACAAGTAGTGGGTAGAGACCAGTGATGCTGCTAAACATTGTGACAATGCACTGCACATTGTTAGCAGTGCCAAAACCAAGAATCATCTGGCCCCAAATGTCAGTAATGCCAATTTTGAGAAACCTTGATTATGCATTATTTTCTTATTGTTCAATGTCTTCCTGTTTTACATTCCATATATAATGCATCTTATTTGAAGCTAGAAGATGTAAATAAATTCATATAGAAATAGCAGAGGTGAATCACCCATAATCCCAAGTAGTTGAGGGTGAAATAAAGTAAAGAAATCCCACATACACAGGGCACTTTGGTGGCTCAGTCGGTTGAGTGTCTGACTTCAGCTCAGGTCATGATCTCACAGTTTGTGAGTTCGAGCCCTGTGTTGGGCTCTGTGCTATCCGTTCAGAGCCTGGAGCCTGCTTCAGATTTTATGTCTGCTCGGCCCCCCCCCCCCCCCCACTCACATTCTGTCTCTTTTCTCTCTCAAAAGTAAATAAATATTAAAAAAAAAAAAAAAAGAAATCCCACATATACAAATACACCAGAACAAAACAAATAAAAATAACTGAAAGAAAATAGTATGTTTATATCAATTTTAATAACCTTTTAACTATTGAAGGAAAAAGGAAGTAAGCTATTGTCTATTAAAATAAGTTGATACTTTGAGGTGAAAAGGATTTGTTTCCATATATGCAAAGAAAAACTTCTTAATTAGATAATGCAAGGAACTGACTTAAATTTGTAAAGTCTATACAAGGTTTCAAAGGTTTTATTAGCAATTTATACAAGAGAAATAGTCTACTTCATATGAGAAATATACATGTTTGTTGAATGAATGAAAAAAGTTAACCTTGAGATACATACCTGAATATATACTAAATAAGTACAAATAAATGAAATTGATAAAACTATTGGTTGAACTTTGGGGGAAATTAGTATATACATTTTTTATGTAAATTCACCATTTTCAGGGGAGAGTGAAAAAGTGTAACAAGAACCTTAAAACTCATAGTCTTTTTAGAAGACAGTAAGTGAGGGGTGCCTGGGTGGCTCAGTTGGTTGGGTGTCCGACTTCAGGTCAGGTTATGATCTTTCCGTCCATGAGTTTGAGCCCCGCATCAGGTTCTGTGCTGACAGCTCAGAACCTGAAGTCCCCTTTCTCTCTGCCTCTCCCCCACTCATGCTCTGTGTCTCTCATAAATAAATTAACAAACAAACATTAAAAAAAAACAAGTGATCAAACTATTTGACAGAAGAATTTGTAGTTATTTTTAGGTTAATCTTTAATGTAAAATATGCATAACATGAAATTTACCATTTCAGCCATTTTTTAAAATTGAAGTATAATTGACATGTAACATTATTAGTTTCAAGCATACAATGTAATGACTTGATAACATTTTAGCTATTTTTAATTGTGCATTCATTCTCATTGTTTATTCACATAGTTGTATAACCATCACCATTATCTATTTCTGTAATTTTTTTATTATCCCAGACTAAAACTCTGTATATAGCTAACTTTTTCATGATAATAAATTATGGTAACAAATTACTGTAAAATACCTACCAGGGAAGCAGTCTATTCTTGAGGACTTGGATCTGTGTCCTGACTCTCCCATTTACTTACTTCTGTAACAGAAATACTCTGATATTTTAAGGCTTACAATAATAAGTTTGCAAGGACCTTACTAAAGAGTTGATTTTGTAACTGATAATACTTCAAAGGGGCTATAGGTTTTCTGAATAGTTGATTGGTGTTATTAAAAATAATTTAATTTGAAGTTAAATATATAATAAAGTTTGCATTGGAAATTAACTATTAATTAATTATTTGAAGTACTTTTAGGAGTTTGAAGTGATGCCCATGTGGCATAAATTGTTTGGAAAGAGCTTTATTCAGTGTTACTTCAATATACTTAATTATTTTTTCAGGTCTCTACAGCAGAACAGTGTCGTTCTTCCCCCAAAAGTATGATTTCTTGCAATAAGAAATCCCTGTATCTTCCACAAGAAATGTCAGCTGTTTATATAGAATTCACAGAATATTACTATCCAGACGGAAAGGATTTTCCAAGTAAGAGAGTTTCCTGTTTTGTTATTATTTGTCCATTACTTGGGAAGTTGTTTTTTGTTTTTTGTTTTTTGTTTTGCTAAGTTTTCAACTTTTATAAATGTGAAAAAAAGAAACAAAAGCCCATTGTTCTTTACACTTGTTCTCATTGTTTTTAGTATATAACTCTATATAGCATTTCTTACATGTTCTTACTGTTTGTTCATATTTTTTTTTCTCTCACTAGCTTGTAGCATCCTTAATGTTGGGAATCATGTAGTAGTCATGCTTCATTTTATCCCTGAGGCTTGACTCATTTCTTTACTAGTAGCTGTTTGTTAAATGAAAGAATTTATGAAAGTTAGTTTATTTGTAGAATAAGGTCATTTTTTTTCCATTAGTCATAACCTATTTATATTTCAGCTATATAAAACTCTATATTTCTTTGAAAAATTAATAATGCATTTATTCTTTTAGCTATAGAGAATTTTTTGGCTGTTTTATGCACAAATGTATATTTTGGACAACTTTTGGCACTTGTCTTTACTTTGAGCATTGAATTACATGAATTTTGATTTGTAAGCTATTTTGGGGTCCTAAAGTGAAAATGATTATGCATTTGTGTTCTTTGAATGCTAAATTTCTATGCGATTATCTGAGTTCATCTCATAGTTTTTCAAAATAAAATTGGCCATTGTTTATATGGTATCTTTTCTTCAACTGTTTAATTATTTAATCCTTGTTTGTGCCAAAGTTTTGGGATCTAATTCTCACCATCTTGATGCTTTTCAGCAGTCTTTTGTGTATTTCTTGTTTATCCTTTCTACCTTCCTGACCAAAACAGTGAGAAAATTAAAAAAGGTTAAGACATTTGCTTAGCACCTTAGTAAAATGGCACAGCTGAGATGTGGGTCTTCTAAATCAGAATTCATGTGTCTTCCCCCCAGGCTGCAGCTATATTACACTGCCTTCCCATAATATTCACAACCATTTGTCTGTAACTGGAGAATCCCATTGTTTCCAGTCCTCCTTGCTCCTTACAAACAAGTGTTTTCCTTAAGTAATGCATCACTGAGTTAGTAATTCTTCAGAGTGAAGACTAGTTTCCAAGATTTCTGATTTCTAACCTAGGTTTATTTATTTCTATCATTTTTATTAACACGTGCCATAGGAATTGTAATCTTATTCTATAATATATATTTTTTCTGATAAAAACATTAAATTCCTTACAGCAATTTAAAGCCTAGCCCCCTAGATACTTAGGAATGGAATTGCTAGGTTATGTTTAACTGTGTTTAATTTAACTTTTCACTATGAAAATTTTCAAACATATACAAAGGTACAGGGATCCATTTTCAGTACTTATATTTCATCTCTTTGTTAAGCAACCCAACTTTATAAAAATATAACTTTTAAAATAATTGTAAATGTAATATATGTTATGTTATTTAAAAAAAGAATATACCAAAAATAAAAAACTGGCCACGAGTCTACAGTTTAGAGACAACTTCTGCTAAAACATAAATGTATGAATTTGTTAGGGCTGCCATAACAAAGCACCACCGACTGGGTGATTTAAACAAAAGACATTCATTTCTTCATAATTTTGGAGGTTGGAAGTTCTAGATCAAGTGTCAGCAGGGTTGTTTCTTCAGAGAATTCTTTTTTTTGTTTTTACTTATTTTTGAGACAGAGTGAGACAGAGCATGAGCAGGGGAGGGGCAAAGAGAGGGGGAGACACAGAATCTGAAGCGGGCTCCAGGCTCTGAGCCGTCAGCACAGAGCCCGACGCGGGGCTCGAACTCACGGAGTGTGAGATCATGACCTGAGCTGAAGTCGGACGCTCAACCGACTGAACCACCCAGGCGCCCCTCTTCAGAGAATTCTTATTGGCTTGTGGATGGCTGTCTGTTCACATGGTCTTTGCTCTGTGTGTGTTTCCTAATGATGCTGATTGTACTATATATACTAGAGCCCATCCATATGAACTCATTTTTACTATAATTGCCTGTTTAAAACTGTTTTAAACTGCCTGTTTAAAACTGTCTTCAAATACAGTCATATTCTGAGGTACCCTGGGTTAGCATACCAGTTTTGAGGGGACAGTTGAGACCATACAGTAAGTATAGTATTGCTCGTCCTGTTTTTAATGTATGTGTTTCTTTTGCATATTTGATTTACATCCTGTACCCTTCTTTTTTTTTTTTTTTTTTAATTTTTTTTTCAACGTTTTTTATTCATTTTTGGGACAGAGAGAGACAGAGCATGAACGGGGGGAGGGGCAGAGAGAGAGGGAGACACAGAATCGGAAACAGGCTCCAGGCTCTGAGCCATCAGCCCAGAGCCCGACGCGGGGCTCGAACTCACGGACCGCGAGATCGTGACCTGGCTGAAGTCGGACGCTCAACCGACTGCGCCACCCAGGCGCCCCCCCGTACCCTTCTTTTAAGTTCTTTTTTTTTTTTTTTTTTTTTTTTTTAAAGTTTGAGAGAGAGCAAGTGTGAGTGAGAGAGAATAAGTGGGGGAGGGGCAGAGAGAGAGGCAGAGAATCTAAAGCAGCCTCTGTGCGGTCAGCGGGAGCTGACACAGAGCTCTATCCCATAAATCAGTAGATCATGACCTGAGCCAAGATCAAGAGTTTGGACACTTAACCAACTGAGCCACCTATACGCCCCTACATCCTTTCCCTTTGATGATATGAGCATATTCCAGGTTTCTACAGGTTTATTTAAGTATCTTTAATAACCATATAATAATCTATTTCATAAGTAGACCCCTGTTGGAAACTACTTGTAGTACTTGTACTACTATGTGTAGATTTTTCTCGTGCTTAGTGTACCAGTTTCTTCCTCTGTCCCAGATCTCCACAGCCCGGATTCTTCTTTCCTTCTGTGTTATAGCTTTGGGGACTACATGTGCTCTCTAGTCCTCTCTGTAGCTGTCATCATTACTCATTTTATACTTGAAAGGCCTTCTTTTTCCTTCCTTCCAGAGTATGATGTGATCTCTTCGACACCCCACTTCCTTTCAATTTCCAAATATAAGCACTGCCACATCCCAATTGGATGTCTCTGTTAGACTTGAATTACATTTTTCTACCTTTGTGTCTGTGTTGAGTAAAAATCTACAGACATTTTATTATTTTCGTGCTTAACACCATACACAAAATATTGTTGGCATTCAGTGAATCTTTCCTGGAAGAAAATGAATGAATGAGTGCAAAAAAACATCCTATTTAGGACATAGTTATTATGCTGTCTTTTTAATGATATCCTATACCTTGGATTTATTTTCCTTAAATTATTGTTGTCTAAAAAATCTAGATATACATGCTATTTGCTTTACTAGAAGTGAGTAGGTTTGAATGTTTGGGATAGAAGATTTTTTATCAAGATGCTCTGAAAACAATAATGGCTTTTATAGTATAAACAAAAGGATTGAAGAAAGAGGTGTATACTCTAATTGTGAATATTAGTTTAATATAAACTAGCACTAAAACACTTATCCAACCCCCAGGCATTCTAATATTTGAGGAGAGCTATGAAAAAGGAGTATATTCCTTTTATATCTAGTAGATACTTGAATTTTTACTTTGCACCAAGCGGTATTCTAGGCTTAGGATTAAGTGGAGAATAAAACTGCATGGCCCCTCCTCCCAAAGGAGACCTGCCTGTTCACCACTTTCGTAAGAAATTAGTCATTAGACTCGGTTCTCTTATTTTAGAGGATTCAGATTATCATTCAGGTAGGAAAAGTCCTTACAGATACTAGGAAGAGAGATCTAAACGTTGTTTCCTATTTATAGATAGTTTTAGAATAAACAATATATTTTTCAGTTAGTGAAGCATAGAAAAATGTTTTTTGTCTGTCTAAATGTATTCATTATCATCCACATGTGTCACTTTAATTTTGTAAATAAAATTTCAAAACTTATTATCTTAATTTAAAAAGAATAAAAGTTAAAAATGTTTTTTCTCAGGGAAGATTTAGACTATCTGTTCATTAAAAATCTTTAAATTTTTTTTTCTCCACAGTTCCATCTCCCAACCTTTATAGCCAACTGAATGCACTACAGTTTACCGTGGATGAAAGAAGTATTCTATGGTTAAATCAATTTCTCTTGGATTTAAAACAGAGTCTTAATCAATTTATGGCTGTATACAAGTTGAATGACAATTCAAAATCTGATGAGCATGTTGATATTCGAATTGATGGCTTAATGCTAAAGGTACCATATACACAAGTGACTGTGATAACAAAACCATTTTTAGAGAAGAAAAGTTAACGTCGTAATTTCCAGGATTTAAGATGGGTGTTCAAATATAAATCAACTTTATTGTAATCTTAATTTTGATTTTGAAATTTTAATTTTAATTTTGATTTTCAGTTTAAAAAGCCTTAAGAGACCATTTTTCCCCCTTCTTTCTCTATCTTCCATTTAACCTGTTTCATTTTGTCACTGCTCATCCATTTGGAGGTAAGCAGAAATAACATTTAAATCTCAGTATTTTTTCCCCTACTTCCTACCGGAGCTATAAAATTTTTCTTTTAAAGTGGAAATTAATACAGTGAAACTTATAAATTAGATCTGGGTTTTATTTGTTCACAGTTATTCTGTTATTGATATCCAAAGATAATAGAAATTTGCTTTGTATTACAACCAAGTAGTTGATAATCTGAATCCCAGGGATATTTAAACTTTAAAGGAGCGAGGTTTTTTGTTTTGTTTTTTATGCACACTTTATTTATTTATTCATTTTTATGAAATTTATTGTCAAATTGGTTTCCATACAACACCCAGTGCTCATCCCAAAAAATGCCCTCTTCAATACCCATCACCCACCCTCCTCTCCCTCCCACCCCCCATCAACCCTCAGTTTGTTCTCAGTTTTTAAGACTCTCTTATGCTTTGGCTCTCTCCCACTCTAACCTCTCGTTTTGTTTTTTAAAAAAACAACAGCTACTATAGTGTAGTAAATAGAGTAAGACTTGGATGAAAAATTTCAGTTTCTGGATCTGTTGGTGATACTCTAAATTTCTATACCTTTAATTTCTTCTCTGTAAAATGGGGTTATTCATAAATGTTAAAATTTCATTGCAGAAATGTTTTAAAGATTTTCTTAAAAGTCTTACTATGTTCAATTATAAAAAGATGAATTTTATAAAATCACAATTATACTTTAAGACAGTTGTGTAATCTCTATATTTTCTCAATATGCACAGTTTTAAAACCAGTATTTTAAGGACAAAAAAAACATATTTTAAGGACTGAGAGTAACTATTTCTGAAAAATTAGTAAATAGTTTGACCTGTATGCTTAAGTTTATTTTCTTAATAGTTTTATCTGAGAAAAGTGATTCTAATGGCATCTATCCAGTCATTCCATCCAGTTATCCCCCACATCTCCTGGATTTAAAATATCTTTGTTTCAGATTCTATGTCTCCCTCTCTCTGACCCTCCCCCATTCATGCTCTGTCTCTCTCTCTCTCAAAAATAAATAAACGTTAAAAAAAAAAATTTAAAATATCTTAACAAAAAGTTCTTTTTTCCAAACTTAACACTTAATTCTCAAGGCATAGTAAGCTTTTAGTAATATTGATTTAGTTTTAATTTTGTTTAAAGTTGTTCTTTTCTTAGTGGTTAGTTAAGTCCTTTTTACTTGGTTTAATAAAAAGATTTGTGGGGAGAAAGTTCATATATTATGTTTGGATAAGAAAGTAGTGTTTTGGTGGGATATACCAAAAAGAATTCCTGAGCTAAGTTATGTTCTTGATTATTTTATCTTCAAGATGTATGGAATTGTAAGTTAGACTAGATTAATGTTTTTTCTCTTATAGTTTGTCATTCCTTCTGAAATGAAATCTGAATGTCATCAAGATCAACCACGTGCAGTTTCTATTCAGAGTTCTGAAATGATTGCCACAAATACAAGGCACTGTCCAAACTGTCGACATTCTGATCTAGAAGCTTTGTTTCAAGACTTTAAAGATTGTGATTTTTTCAGTAAAGCATATACCAGCTTTCCCAAATCTGGTGACAATTTTAATCTGTTGCATCCAATCTTCCAGAGACATGCTCATGAACAAGATACTAAAATGCATGAAGTTTATAAAGGAAATATTATTCCCAAGTTGAATAAACACACTCTCAAAACTTCTGCTGCCACAGATGTTTGGGCTGTGTACTTTTCTCAATTTTGGATAGATTATGAAGGGATGAAAAGTGGAAAAGGGCGGCCAATAAATTTTATAGACTCTTTCCCTCTTTCCATCTGGATTTGCCAACCAACAAGGTATGCCCTGTCACAAAAAGAGCTGCAGACTTGTAATCAGGTATCTCTAAATACATCACAAAGTGAATCTAGTGATCTGACTGGACGATTGAAGCGGAAGAAGCTCTTGAAAGAGTATTATAGTACAGAATCTGAGCCCTTGACAAATGGTAGTCCAAAATCTTCAGATACATTTTTAAGATTTTCCTCTTCATCATCAGATGCAGATGTTCATGTCCTGGTTCACATTCATAAACATGTCAGTATGCAGATCAATCACTACCAGTATCTGCTCTTGCTTTTCCTCCACGAGTCACTCATTTTGCTTTTGGAGAACTTAAGAAAAGATGTAGAAGCTGTGACTGGCGCTCCTCCTAGTCAGACATCCATTTGCATTGGAATTTTACTTAAAAGTGCAGAAGTGGCTCTTTTGCTACATCCAGTGGATCAAGGAAATACTCTTAAGTCTCCTGTCACTGAAAGTGTGAGCCCAATGGTTCCTGATTATTTGCCTACAGAAAATGGAGAATGTTTGTCTTCAAAAAGGAGGCAAGTTAGTAGTGGTATAAATCAAATCAGAAGTGTAACTGTTAATCACATGTCAGACAACAGATCTATGAGTGTTGACCTTAGCCATGTCCCTTCAAAGGATCCCTTGCTTTTTAAATCAGCTAGTGATACAAATCTGCAAAAAGGTATTTCTTTTCTTGATTATTTATCAGATAAAAATTTAGGGAAAATAAGTGAAGATGAAAGTAGTGGAATTGTGTGCAAAAGTGGATCAGGAGAAATTGGATCAGAAACAAGTGACAAAAAGGATTCTTTGTATACAGATTCAAATAGTGTCTTAAACTACAGAGAAGATTCAAGTTTGCTGTCCTTTGATAATGATGGTAATCAAAACATACTTTCAAATAATTTAACTACTAAAGGACATGAAACCATAGAGTCAGTCTTTAAAGCTGAAGATTTGCTTCCAGAAACAGTTTCACTCTCTGAGAACCTAGAAATCAATCAAGAAGAAGCACCCACGGTTAGAACACTTAAATCACAGTCATCTTTCAGGTAACAACATACTATTGGAATTTGGGGGTTTTTGATTTTCTGGGCGTATGTATGTATGTGGTGGGGGGCATATTTTGTTTTTGGACAGAAAACCTCCTGACAAAATATGACATTAGAGTTAACACATAGAAGAATGGGTTTTATGTGATGTTTTTCTAATAATTTTGTCAGCAGTGGAAAGCCTAAGGAACGGATTCCACCCAACCTGGCTCCACTCTGTGTTTCTTATAAGAACATGAAAAGAAGCCCCTCACAGACCTCATTGGACACCATTTCACTTGACAGTATGATATTGGAAGAACAGTTGTTAGAAAGTGATGGAAGTGATACTCATATATTTTTGGAAAAAGGTAAAGCAATACAAGTTTAATAATTCATATTAAATAATCAAATCTTAGAAGCGTTCAAGGGTTAACTGTGTAATAACTTAAAACAAACTGTGTTTTGTATGACTTGGGCTTTTCTAATCCACTGTTTCTAATAATTCACTTTTATGGTATTTTTAAAAGATACTGATCTATGATGGGCACAAAATTTTTTTAAGATTGTCTTTTTCCACAGAGTTTGAGAAATAATGAAATACAGCACACTGAAAAATTAAGGCAGGTAGGTAAGAACAGAGGGTGATCACATTGATTGTAGTGACATTAACTTCAGGTAGGAGATAATTAGAAGTGGTACTGAAAGGGGAAATGAAGTGGTTGGACCGGGGTTATTCAAAGTAGGACGGCAGAGAGGGAGGCATAGCTGGCTGACCAGGAACCCGCTATGCCAGCACCACACCAGCAATGTGAAGGCTGTGCTCAGTGTTTTTGAGTTCTTTTCATACTACATTTAAGGCTTTAGTATCTCTAACATTTTATTGTGGACGTTATTTCTTATTATTTGCTAAACTAACTACAATTTAATTTTTCTTTGCTTATTGTCTTTTAAACAAGCCTTTGCTTAAGAAAGATTTGAAGGATAGCCCTTTTTGGTTAAATTTAACATTGTCGGATCGTTTGTATAAGACTGATTTTAATTTGTTAGTTAACTTTTTTATTATTTCAGGTATTAAAAAGAACTCAACTATGAATTACCAGAGCCTAACGGAGAGTGCAAATGCCAGTGCAAATCTACAGAATTTTGGTGAAACCTCTCCAGATGCCATCAGTACAAATTCAGAGGGTGCTCAAGAAAATCAAGACCTGGTAATCATTTCACAGAGATTCTATGAAGAGAAATGCCACCACTTTTATTTCAGATAAATATGTACAGATTTTATGACATAATTATGTAAAGTGAATTGCCATAGTAGTGAGTGACTCACTTTGCTCGTTCTACTCTTGACACTTCTCCCTTCCCTCTTACTGAATTGTTTTTCTCTGAATTTCATTCTTCTAAATCTGTTTTTTTTCGTACTGTGGAGGGGAGGTTTTTACCTTTTGACCTTTATGTAGTTGCATTTAAATACACTTTGAAAACAAGTTTGATGGTTGATGGTAGTCAGTCCTTCTGAGGAACTTTCTACAAAAGAAATATGTTACTGGTTTGTTATAAGTCCTTTCCACCCAGTGAAATATTCTTACAGATGACTTAGAAAATATGTTCAGCTTTCAATGAAAATAATTTCACACAGAAATGTTATCTGTGTGACCTAAAAAAATTCATCTCTTGACTGAATAGGAAGAAAGGAAGCTGAAGTTTGTCACTGTAATGTAATAACCAGGTTTTGTTGATCACAAGTATATTATTGGTTTTATTAGGTCACTATTGTATTTTTAGAGATTTTAGTAGTTTCCTGTGTTATTTCTTAAATTTTGTTTTGAATTACTTGGTATGCTAATATTATTTATGCAATCATTATTAGATGTCAGTTGTGGTGTTTAAAATTACTGGTGTTAATGGGGAAATTGACATCCGAGGGGAAGATATGGAAATCTGTCTTCAAGTGGACCAAGTGACACCAGATCAGTTAGGCAATATCAGTCTTCGACATTACCTCTGTAATCGTCCAATAGGTAAGACTTTAATATGATTTAAATTTGTTGTGTTTTTTACATATAACTCCTCAGCAGTTCTGTCTTTGGTATAAATAAATTCAAGGAAAATTACATTTATTTATAATAATGTGAGAGATTTGTTTTCTTAGCTTACCTTATTTTCATAAAGTATTTTGATTGTTATTAGAGATGTAATGTGTTGAGGATGTATTCTCTAATTTCTTTTTGTTTCTTTTGTTAAGTGCCATCGTTTTTAGTCTTCTCATTCTTTGAGATAATTGGTTTAAGAAAACAGGTCTTTTCTGTATGAAAAGAATAATAAAGTAATCCTAGAATGTCAAACTTAGCTCTATGCTAGAATAAATGTCAATTTTTACATTCCATTATCTTGCTTGTAAGCAAACATTTCCTGAGTCTGACATGATACCTGGTGTTTGGCAAAATCGTATGTCATGTTCTTACGGTCCTTCATTCTAACATCAACACATTCATCTGAACGTAGGGGGATAGGAACAACAAAACATGCAGTGTATAAAGAGGAAACCACATAAAACTATCCCTTTTTCAAAGTTTATATGGAGTTACCACTCATGGTTTTCAGTCATTTGAAGAAATTAACTTATTAGAATAGTTCTATTAAGCATTTAAAATGACATTGTTCAGGGGCGCCTGGGTGGCTCAGTCGGTTGAGCGTCCGACTTCGGCTCAGGTCATGATCTCACGGTCTGTGAGTTCAAGCCCCGCGTCGGGCTCTGTGCTGACAGCTCAGAGCCTGGAGCCTGTTTCAGATTCTGTGTCTCCCTCTCTCTCTGGCCCTCCCCCGTTCACGCTCTGTCTCTCTCTGTCTCAAAAATAAATAAAAAAGCGTTAAAAAAATTTAAATAAAATAAAATGACATTGCTCAAATTTTTAATTCTTTTAAAAAGCCACTGAGCTGTAAATATTTTTCTTTGCTATATATATAGAATGCTGTATCTGATACATATATTGTTGAAATACATAGTCCTGCATGGTATCAAATAAGTATACTATCACCTCACATCCTGGGAATTGCAGGTAAATGTGCCATTTGTCTTTAAATCAGCATCATAGAAAAAAAATTGTCTCCAGGCATTTTTCTATGTATAGGCCTTGCAGTTTACAATGTAGCTGTTAAGAAATTTCAAGAATTTCCTGTTGGCAAGTATCAATCCCAAAAGCATGCAAACTAGTGGAAGCTAAATATACAATTGGAAAGGTTTCATAGTGGGCAAAAAACCAAAATTTCAAAACTTAGATCCTGTTCTATTCCCAAATCCAAAACAGTTTTCAAATTGTACACTCTTAAAATTATTTCCAGTTGCTCAATTGTTTTTACTTATTTTTATGGGTCAGTTAGTACCATGTCCTATTAATTTGTTTCATGTTGTTCCTTACTGAAATCATTTTGAAATGTCCTGTATGTATGGATCATATAGTCAGTGCTAATACCTTATTTTTCTCAACTGCCTCAGTTGTTTAAAGATAAAAAACAAGAAGGAAGCAGGGCGCCTGGGTGGCTTAGTTGGTTGAGCTTCCGACTTCAGCTCAGGTCATGATCTCAGGGTTTGTGAGTTCGAGCCCCATGTCGGGCTCTGTGCTGACAGCTTGGAGCCTGCAGCCTGCTTCAGATTCTGTGTCTCCCTCTCTCTCTGACCCTCCCCTGTTCATGCTCTGTCTCTCTCTGTCTCAAAAATATATAAACATTAAAAAAATTTTTTTTCTAAAAAACAAGAAGGAAGAAAGCAAAGGAAAAGAAAGGGGCAAGGGGAAATGAAATAAAAGGAAAAGGAGAAACAACTAGTTTAGCTTGAACATTTAAAACATTAATAAACCATGCGAATAAAGATTGACCTACAGTTTGTATCTGCTGTCACTCTGACATGACCAGTTAAAATTGCAAAGTTGTTTTTGATTTTGTTTTTGTTTTTCTATAATGTGTGGATTTTGGAGTCCTTTAGTAGGAAGACCTTAATATAATAATTTCATGGCATAAGAGGTAGAAGAGAGGAGTGAGTTTTGACTAGTGAAGATTTTGTTTTATCTCTGCTCCAAATAAATATTCTTTTTGTTTGAAATTATTTCTGGCTCTCAGCTCCTTAGACTGAGTAGGTAATCTCTCTCTCATTCTGTGTGTGTGTGTGTGTGTGTGTGTGTGTGTGTGTGTAGATACGTGGATAAACAGATGAAAGGCAAAACAAAGTCACATTTACAAAGTTGTTTCTAATTGTCCTTATTATTAAATAGACGTTAATAAACTCTTATTTTTCTTGATATAGGAAAGAACACTGACCATTATCAATTTGTGGCTTTTGCCTTTTATTTAAAAAGAAAATCTTCTTAATTATTTAAAGAATGCTTTAGAATTTTATTTGAACTCTTCCTGTATATTATTTATTTATTTTGAATGTCGATTTGTAGTACTAACATTAATTAAACGTTATCCTGTACCTGAAATAAAGTTACAGAAACAACTCTCCACTTTGAATTGTGTATGGAGATCTATCCTTGATGTATAAATATGGGTATGTTTATTTTCTTACATCCCCTCCCCCTCACAAATATGTATAAATTTGGCCTTTATAGGACTAAAGGATTCACATCCATGCTGAGGGAAAATAAACACTCCATCATGAATTTAATTAGTAGGTCTTCCTACAAGGACCCATGAGACTGGTGACTTTGATATTTCAATAGTCTGACTTTTCCAGAACAGTTAGTTGTTTTTTTTTTAATTCATCGATTCTGTAAATTGTGAAACTGATCACATTTTTCTCTTTGCTGCTAGAAAGTTCATTTTTGGTTCACCTGTGGCACAGAAAAAGTAAATAATGTGTTTGGAGTCATTAATCTTACTGCCCATCCTTACCTTTTTCCTTCTGTCCTTTTCCATTGCTTACTTATTTTTCATATGATTATACCATGAACGTTTTGCCTCTTACTCTTTTTGGAGCTAGGTAGCGTAATACAAACAAAATAGTTGCTGTGAGGGTAGGTTCACTTAAGTGGTCATACTGAAAACTTTTGTTTTTTAAAATCAGATTTTCTATGAGTCTTTATTGAAATGATAAAATTTGTTTTTGAATTTAGTATTTATCTCAGCCAACTCAAAGTCTTTTTTGGAACAAGGCCAAGGCATAAATACATGTATACTATGTTTATATATATGTATAAATCAGTATAAACATAAATGTAATATATATCTCCCTTGCTTTAATTTCAGTTTTAAAATTGTTTTCTAATAGAGACATTTTATTGAGGTCTTGTCTACTTACTTTTCTAATTATATAAGGACCCAATTTTAATGAGGAAGGTACAGAACTTCACGTTTTTGTTATTTCTTAAGAAATGGCTTAAGTGTCGCTTTAAGTGTCATGACTGTTTATCACATTTGTCTGTTACATTATAAATGAATAGATAGGTACACACTCAGACATTTTAAGTATCTTAGGTGTGCATCATATCAGATTTATATCATGGTATATGTTTTCATGGCACCAAAACATTAGAAAATATAGATAGGTCAACAGAAGTGCCATGGAAGGTCTATAAAAATTGAAGGGCTGTGTATGGTATATTGTATATGTACTGTAAATATCATGTAAATGAAAGATAAATATTAAAACTTTAAGATATTATTGCTTTAACATTATACAAAGTGACAATAATGTCTGATGACAAATAATTGAGAGTTTTTGAATAGTGCTACAAGTTATGATTTTCATGTGTTCTTTTTCCATAGGTTCGGATCATAAATCTGTAATTCATTCCAAATCCTCTCCTGAGATTACTCTGAGATTTGAGAGTGGGCCTGGTGCTGTAATACACTCTTTGCTTGCAGAAAAAAATGGATTTTTGCAATGCCATATAGAAAACTTTAGCACAGAGTTTTTTACATCTTCGCTTACTAATATTCAACATTTTTTGGAAGATGAAACTGTTGCAACCGTGATGCCAATGAAGATACAAGTTTCTAACACAAAAATAAATTTAAAAGTATGTTAATAAGTATTTATATATTTTCGTGTTGTGAATGTTCACTTTGCCGACTGGGACTTTAATTCATGCTTAAGAATGTGTCTTCTCTATAATATGTGCTTATTAGCATTTATTGATATGAGTTTTTGGTCTTTGTGGGGGAATAATGAAAAGAATCATAGAAATTAGAAATCATTTACTTTAATAACAACATGCTGATACCGCTTCTCTTTTTTACAGGACGACAGTCCTCGTAGTAGTACAATATCCCTTGAGCCAGCTCCTGTAACTGTTCATATTGACCATCTTGTGGTAGAGAGAAATGATGATGGTTCTTTTCATATCAGAGGTATATATGAAAAACATTGTTATTGAACACCTACTGAGATTTAAAGTTATTGATATGCTGATTTGTTTACTTGTACTTCCTGTTTATAGATATGAAATATGTGGTAGTAGATGATTGGGGGACAATTTCACTACCTTAGAATAGAATATCATCTATGTATGGACCTTTTACCTCAAAAATAACTCATCTACAGTGGCTTTAATACCTGTTCTACAAATGTATTTTGAATGAAAGTGACACAGGTTTTTATGGTCTTACATGGCTCTTAAGCTTACTTGGGCTTCTTGATCTCTTTCTTAGGTTTATCTCCCACTATTCTTTTATATATAACTCAACCAACTTGGTGTACTTCCTGTAACAGAATTTTTTGTGCACTTTTCCATCTCCATGTTCTTATTTGCCTTCTTATTTCTCATTAGAATTGTATGTTTCCTTTCAAGTTTGTCTCAAGCTCCTCCTTTTCAATCAATTGTTCTTTATAACCTGGTGTAACTTCTTATAATTCTTGGGTACTTACTTATTCTCTATACATTAATTACTTATAATATATTGCTATGTATTTAGTTTTACTTTTATCTCAATGTAAGAATTAGTGTCTCCATTGTAACAAGATTGTTAAGGTCTCTAGTGTAAGGGCTATATCTTACAAGGTGATGTAGAGTAGAGGAAAGAGCTTGGCTTGGTTGACTTAGGTATTCCGGTCTCACTTTATTAGTAGTTTCTTGAGAGTGAAATATGAGGAGCTGTTATATGCATCTATTTCATCTATCAGACCTCATGAAATGACATATGTTAAAAGAAGAATAAAGTCATACAGTAAGAAAAGTAAGTGCCATCAGAGGATCAGAAATCCTTGGGACACGTGGGTGGCTCAGTTGGGTAAGCATCTGACTTTGGCTCAGGTCATGATCTTATGGTTCGTGAGTTCAAGCCCCATGTCAGGCTCTGTGCTGACAGCTCAGGTCCTGGAACCTGCTTTAGATTCTGTGTCTCCCTCTCTATCTGCTCCTCCCTCACTCACACTCTGCCTCTGTCTCTCAAAAATAAATAACTGTTAAAAATTAAAAAAAAAAAAAATCCTTGTAAGTGCACAAAATCAGAGTACTTTGCCAAATAGGCAAAACCAGAAGAATCTGGAGCCATAATCCCATCTAAAAGAGGACTGTTGCTAAGGTAGGATCAGTTCATGGGCAACTCTTAACTAACAATCTACCCCTTCTGGAATTTGGGAACCAGAGCAAAGACATCAGGTCAATAAAGGAAAAAAAAGTCAGTTTCTTTTCTGAAATAGCTCACATGGAGCAAATAGCTTAGGTGTAAGAAGATAAGTTTGCTTTACGTCTCTTTCCCCCTAAATACTTTAGATCCCAAAACAGGCAGGTCTGTCTTGTAGATAAAGCAGAATAGAATGCATCCTTTTTGTGGGCAACGCTTAGACCAAAGAAAGGAGAGACTGAATCTCACACAGAGTTCCTTTTTCTAAACTCATCACTCAAATGGTGTCAAGAGAGTATAGGAGATTTTTCTCCTCAAAAAGCATCCCAACAGAATGTTGAAATTAGAATAGATCCCCTGAGGCAATAGGTGAACAATCTAGACACTTCTTTTTGAGACCATTTCCTGCGCTTCTACCAAATAGCACACTTCAGTGGGGTTTGCATATAGACTAAAACATGGAGGGTAAATTCTACAGCTGCCAGGCCCCAGGAAGGGAATGATTTTATATCCAGTTGATGAACTTGGTATCTCTCCCTTCCCTCCACCCCATCACTGGATGTCAGCTATGGCACATAGAAACAACATCCATAGTCAAGAAAATGGGATAAGCAAACACCCAAGAATTCTCAAACATTTGATTGATTGTAAATAGGCAGTAGTCATGATTGTAAGCAAGAAATATTCTCTAGCTAATTGAGTAGAGAAGGAGTTTAACAAAGATTATTGGAATGGAATAGAATTAAGACACCAGAAATACACTCTTAAATTTATGATGAACTGAGTTTTGACAATGGTGCCAAGACCATTCAATGTGGGAAAGACTAGCCTTTTCTACAAATGGTGCTGAAACATACCACAAGAAGGAGCCTAGACCTCTTCCCTGTATCATCCACAAAAATGTACTCTTCATGGGTCAGAGTTTAAAGTAAGAGGTAAAACTATGTTGAAACTCTTTTTTTTTTTTTTTAATTTTTTTTTCAACGTTTTTATTTATTTTTGGGACAGAGAGAGACAGAGCATGAACAGGGGAGGGGCAGAGAGAGAGGGAGACACAGAATCGGAAACAGCCTCCAGGCTCCGAGCCATCAGCCCAGAGCCTGACGCGGGGATTGAACTCACGGTCCGCGAGATCGTGACCTGGCTGAAGCCGGATGCTTAACCGACTGCGCCACCCAGGCGCCCTGTTGAAACTCTTTAAAAGAAAATATAGGAATGAATCTTAATGACCCTGGGTTAAGAAGCCTTCTCAGATACCACACCAAAAGTGTAAATGACAAAAGAAAAATGTAGATGAATTGGCCTTCATGAAAATTTAAAACTTTTATGCCTCAAATGATACTGTCAGCAAAGTAAAAAGACAGCCCACAGGATGGAAGAAATATTCATAAGTCATTTATTTGGTAAGGGGCTGGTATCCAGGCTATATAAAGAACTCAAAACTAAAAAAGATACATAACCCAATTTAAAAATAGGCAAAGATTTGAACAGATACTTCTCTGATGAAGATATAAAAATGGCCAATGAGCACATGAAAATATGCTTGAAGTCATTAGCCATTATGGAAATGTAAATCAAAACCACAATGAGATAACACTTCAGACTTACTAAGGTGACTAATCAAAAAGACAGATGATAACAAGTGGTGGGAGGATGTGCAGAAATTGGAACCCTCCTACATAGCTGGGCTTGTAAAATGGTGTGGGTGCTTGAGAAACAATTTGGCAGTAACTCTGAAAGTTAAACAGAATTACTTATGACCCAGAAGTTCCACTCAAGAGAAGTAAAAACAGAGGTCCACTCAAAAACTTGTACACAAATGTTGATGTTGACAAGAACAATATTCATAATAGCCCAGAAGTGGAAACAACCCAAATGTCATCATGGTATGAGTGGACAAGGAAACTGTGATATATTCATACAATGGATTATTATTCAGCAATAAAAAGAATGAAGCACTAATACATGTCACAGCAGGGAAGCTTTGAAAATGTTATGCTAAATGAAAGAGGCCAGTTATGAAAGACCACATACTGTATGATTTCATTTACATGAAATTTCCAGGAAAGGCAGATCTGTAAAGACAAAGTAAATTAGTGGGTACCTAGGGCTGGAGGCAGGATTGGAAGGAAATGGGGAGAGACTGCTAATAGGTACAGTGGAATTTCAGGGTGATGAAAATGTTCTAAAAGTGATTGTGGTGATGGTTGTACCATTGGAGAGCGTACTAAAAACCTATGGACCACGCACTTCATTAATTTTTTTTTAAATTTTGTAATGTTTACCTTTGAGAGAGAGAGAGAGAGACAGAGTGCAAGACGGGAGGGGCAGAAAGAGAGGGAGACACAGAATCCAAAGCAGGCTCCAGGCTCCAGGCTCCGAGCTATCAGCACAGAGCCCAACATGGGGCTCGAACCCATGAACCACGAGATCATGACCTGAGCTGAAGTCAGATGCTTAACCAACTCAGCCACCCAGGCTCCCCTGGACCACACACTTTAAATGGGTAAATGGGACATATGAATCATTTAACAAAGCTCTTAAATATATATGTTTTAGAATCATGGGCGATCTGGGGAACCAGGCTCAAGATTTACCTGTCAGATCCATACCCCCAAACCACAACTACATTGTAATCTAGTGTGATGGGACACACTACTGCCTGACATTGGACGCTTGATTTTTCATTTTGCACTACTGTCATTATTTTTTTAAAAATTTTTTTTTTTCCAACGTTTATTTTTTTTGGGACAGAGAGAGACAGAGCATGAACGGGGGAGGGGCAGAGAGAGAGGGAGACACAGAATCGGAAACAGGCTCCGGGCTCTGAGCCATCAGCCCAGAGCCCGACGCGGGGCTCGAACTCACGGACCGCGAGATCGTGACCTGGCTGAAGTCGGACGCTTAACCGACTGCGCCACCCAGGCGCCCCTACTACTGTCATTATTGGTCTGTGTATTCATCCTTACGGCAACTTCTGCAGTCAGCCCTGTTTGAACTTTTATTCTTAGGTACTTGACCTTGCCCCTACTGTCACCGCTGTTGCCCCCAGAAAGAGAAAGTTCTCTCCCTTCCCTTCTTTAGTATCTGAGGGAAATCTAAGGTGAGTACAATTTGAGGCAACATCTGTGTCACACTCATGGAAAGGAATCAGGAAGTTTCAGTAGTCTTTTCCAACATTTATTGAAGGAAGCAAATTTTACTCCCCCAATGAAATTCTTCACATTAAGAAAGGAATTCTAATGTTGGATGGGTGAAATAAATGACAAAATGCCTATTTCAAAAACCAATTAAGAGGCAAGAAATAAATGAATAATACAGTTAATGCCAAAGAAAAGTAGAGACTTTTATAAACACGTGATAGGATTTTGAACTCCTAGAATAAGAACAAGCTCTTATGGAAAATAATCGGTTAAAAATCTTTGAAAATTAAAAGTCTTATCTTTGAAATAAAAACAATAGCCTCCCTAAAACCACCAGCTTTAAGAAACAACCAGAATTGGACCTTTTCCTACCATCTATAACACTAGCACTTCCAAATCTGCTTGAATTATTCTGGTTAATTCCTAAGTTGTATTTCTTCTTCTGCCTTTGTTTGCCTGCACTATTACCAACCCACCAACCAGAGTACCATTGTTAAAATTTAATTTGTATCAAATAACTTCTCAACTAAAGACCCTCCACTGGCTTCCTTTTGCAATCCAATTAAAATTACTGAGGTCCTTCCAGTGGCTTTCGAAATCCAACATGATCTTGTTCTTTGCTTTTCTCCATTGTTATCCCCT